TCCCCACGTTGGCCAGGCTGGTCTCAAACTCCTGACCTCAGGAAATCCACCCACCTTGGCCTCCCACAGTGCTGGGATTATAGGCATGAGCCACCTGGCCCATTCGTTCATTCACTCACTCATCCATCCATCTTGCTCTGTCACCCAGGCTGGAGTGGAGTGGCACGATCTTGGCTTCCTGCAAACTCCGCCTCCCAGGTTCAAATGATTCTCCTGTCTCAGCCTCCCGAGTAGCTGGGACTACAAGCGTGCGCCACCATGCCTGGCTAATTTTTGTATTTTTAGTTGAGATAGGATTTCATCATATTGTTCAGGCTGGTCTCGAACTCCTGATCTCAGGTGATCCACCCACCTTGGCCTCCCAAAGTGCTACCATGAGCCATCACTGTCTAGCCTTTTTTTTTTTTTGAGACTGGGTCTCCCTCTCGACCAGCCTAGAGTGTGGTGGTGCTACCATAGCTCACTGAAGCCTCGATCTCCCAGGCTCAAGTGATCCTCCCACCTCAGTCTTCTGAGTAGCTGGGACTACAGGTATGCATTACTATACTCAGCTAATTCTCTAAAAAAATAATTTTTTTTTAGAGATGGGGTCTCACTGTGTTGCCCAGACTGGTCTTGAACTCCTGGGCTTAAGCAGTCCTCCCACCTCAGCCTCCCAAAGCGCTGGGATTACAGGCGTGAGCCACCATGCCAAGCCTTGTGTTTTTTTTTTTTTTTTTTTGTTTTTTTTTTTTTAATTTTTATTTTTTTGTTTTTTTTTTTTTTTTTTTTTTTTTTTTTTTTTTTTTTTGTGACAATCACCAGAGAGCAGAATTTTACATTGATTTTACATGTTTTTGTCTTAGGTGACTTTTCCTGTTAATTGACAGAAAATGATTTGTCTATCTTTGAAAGGTGGTACTGTATTATTAACAAACATGACAGAAGGCTCTGAGGAATCAGTAGCACTTAAAGTACTCACACATACCTGTATTTTGCAGGAAGGAGACTGTAATTTTGGATTCCTTGGTGGAGGAAAATCAAACACTCTCGTCTTGCCCCCAACGATGCAAGTGTGATTGCTGGTGTCTTCATGAGCTCCAGAGGTCACAGCACGCTACCAAGGACTCTCATGGCCCCTCGGATGATTTCCGAGGGAGACATAGGAGGCATTGCTCAAATCACCTCCTCTCTCTTCCTGGGCAGAGGCAGTGTGGCCTCCAATCGGCACCTCCTCCAGGCTCGTGGCATCACCTGCATTGTGAATGCTACCATTGAGATCCCTAACTTCAACTGGCCCCAGTTTGAGTATGTGAAAGTGCCTCTGGCTGACATGCCGCACGCCCCTATTGGACTGTACTTTGACACCGTGGCTGACAAGATCCACAGTGTGAGCCGGAAGCACGGGGCCACCTTGGTGCACTGTGCTGCGGGGGTCAGCCGCTCAGCCACGCTCTGTATTGCGTACCTGATGAAGTTCCACAATGTGTGCCTGCTGGAGGCATACAACTGGGTGAAGGCCCGGCGGCCTGTCATCAGGCCCAACGTCGGCTTCTGGAGGCAACTGATAGACTACGAGCGCCAGCTCTTTGGGAAGTCGACAGTTAAAATGGTACAGACACCTTACGGCATAGTTCCCGACGTCTATGAGAAGGAGTCCCGCCACCTGATGCCTTACTGGGGGATTTAGTGCCACCGGAGCCTGCATCAGCAGCCTGAGCAGGACCGGCATCTGCTCCCTGCCGGCTGCTCCCTCTCCACTCTCTACTCAAATGGCTGACTTCTAGTTCTCCCTCAAGTGTTTTTTACACTGGGTGTTCAAATTTCTTTTAAGAGGGAGGGGACATAAAGGGAATGCATATATTGCTAGTCACATTTTTAAAATTAACATTTTGGAATAGTGTTTATGAAAATCTTTAGCTTTTAATCATTTTTAACAATTTGAACAGTTTAATAAACTGTTTGGTTCTGCTCCCTTCTGAATCTCATGCCTTTGGCACCTTGGGAGGTACAGGAGGAGCTCAGTGCAGAAATCACTTTGGGGCCTCATTAACCCTTTAGAGACAAGCTTTGCCCCAGGCTGTTGACCAGACAGATGCTTAGGGAAGATTGATACCAGCTTCAGTCTCTACTGGATTAGCCCTACTCTTTCCTTTCCCCTCTATTATTTAGTGACTCTGTAAGTTAAAATAAATACACCTTTATTATTTAGCTGTTAAGTAACTATAATGAAATCTGCTGCAAAAAACTCTCTTGGAATCCATGTGCCCAGGATTATATTAGCATTATTTTTAATAAATCTATATGCTTAACATACTAGCATTTTTACTAATAATTTCAGGGTGTGTATGTTGATGGAAAAAAGGTGCTCTCCAGTAACTGTGCTAAAATGTGGCTCTTGTGACAACTGTGAACACTACGTAAAATACACTTCCCACCGTGGTGGCTGGGCAGACACACTGTTCCTAGTGCGGGGCTGGTGGGAGATGACAGTGCACGCTGTGATCAGGAGTGCTGGTTTTGGTTTCCTCATGGTGGAGGGCCCTGAAGCAGCATGTCCTCCACCAGAGAAACTGGTTTTCAATAAGAGGTGCCTCTGCTTGACTATTACCACATACGAAAATACCCTTAAACTAAACCTCAGAATAAGAGATAAGCAAATAACAGTGGCTTTGTTTAACACTGGGAATGTTACTTACTCCACTGCTCCTGATAATTGGGCAGCACCGCTCATCAGGTACATGGTAGAAGGTGGATGAACTCACCTCTGTCCCACTCCTGGGTGCTTTCCACGTGGTACCTTTCTTCTGGCTGGAGGGCAGCCTGGGATTCTGCCTGTGCGAACCCTGTCACGGCACTGCTTGTGTGGCTTCATTTGTCTGGGAGGCTGTAGCTTGCTCACCAGAGGAATTCTAGATTTTTTGGGGTTAGTTTTGGGAGGAAGCCATGTATATGCCAGTAGCTACATATTTAGACAAATATCCTCCAGATTTTACCTGGTTTGTGGCAATGGTTTTTTTCATCTAAATTCTACCTTTTCTTGCTTTATACCCCTGGCCGCCCATTCTTATAAACATGCATCATTATTCTCTAAATAGGAAAATTAAAATGAAAAAAATTAAAATTATTAATAGTTTCTATGGGAAATCAGAGGAACCAACCAATGCTATAAAATAAAAATCATCATCATCATCATCATCCAGGGAGGCTCTGACTGCTTTAGTATGAGGCTCAGCTTTGAGTCTGGAAGTTTCTGAATAAGAGCCCCAAATAACCACTGTCCTAGGGCGAGAAGACACTTGCTAACAGATGTTCTTGGTAATAAATGAAAATTACCTGTAGAATTCCTGGCAAGCAGCACTACGGGGCTCTAACTAAGAGTTCTTCACACATGGGAAGTCGAACACCTTTGTAATCTAAGTGTGTGGGCCCCTGTTCATCCTAGTGACTTGCATCTACGTGAAATCAACCCAACAAAGACAAGACTAAGAAAAAATCTAGTAGCCTGACATTCTTCTACACTTGTGTTTTGGTTAGTGAAGTTTAACAATGCTAACTGTTCTGGGCTTGTTCTGTGATTTCAGAACAGACCCTGAAAATATTTTAAAGGTAAAACTTTATAATATCTAAACATCAATTACAGCAGTTATTAAAATATAAACAAGGAAAAAAAACATACCATCTTTTAAAATACAGGAGCAAATTCCACATCACACAGAAGGCAATGCATTTCGCTCTAGGCCACAGCATTCACTGGTTAATAAAGCCACAGCTACAAAGTAATGAGATGTCCCACGTGAGTACTTTAACCACTTACGTTCACATCAACATATAAATGATGAAATTAAGTAAAAGCTTCATTATGATATAAAAAGCATGTGTCAAGTGGCATTTTTCTCCCAACTGTTTCACTAAAGCTTTATTTCCTCAGCCTTGCAAGGAGTGGGCTTTTCAATATTGCTATTTGGTGCACACTTATCTGAAGAAATAAATACCTTAAACATAAAAAATACAGGCGACACACACTGACATTTGCTGGAATGGTCTAGAGCAGGCTACAGTGCTCCCTGTCTGAATGGCAAATGTCTGAAAATGTCAGAGTTTATTAACTGTTCACAAAGGAAGGCATGTGACCTCGAAGGTGTTCAGGGGAATTTTTGTAGTGGTCCCCAGTACAGCATTTCCTGTTTCTGTAACATACAGCCCCTATACTCTTTCCAAAGCTGAAGCACATATTAGACAGGCACAGAAAAGACACTTAAACAAGACCCCCAAGACCCTTCAAATATGTATATGTACACAAAATGTCCAAATAATTAAACACACACAACCCCTATGAAATGCTAACTAGCAACCACAGGAAAAATAAAGCATGGAAAATATCCTAATATATCCAGTACCTCTTCTAGCTCAAGCATGTCCAAACAAAAATTAAATTACACACTAAGCCATAAAAATTTTAAAGGCAAAACATCCCACCAAAAAAAGAAAAGTGCTTATTAATCGCCATTCAAGCAGTGGGGTGAAGCCACCGACACAATACACAGTATGGAAATAAGTAACCTTGGTTACGGTTTCCAAGGACACAGGGCTCCTGGCTAACGAGAAGAGCCGAGGTGAAGCTGAATGCAGTGCTGTCATTATAAACGTTTATAAAGAAAAGCAGTGCAACAGTGTCCCACACTCCTCGGATCCCCATTGGTGGCATCTAATTAAACATTTCAAGTATTCAACAGATATGAAAGGTACTGAATACTTTTCATAGCAAAGGCTTTTTTTTGTTGATGTCTACTGAATTTCCCTGTGGCACCTCCCAAGGAGTGACTAAGCCTATCGTCCTTGGTACTAAGGAGTTTTATCTGAGGCATTCTGGAATTTCTCAGAAATAGAAACCAGCTCAGTTAACAAGTGAGCTTACTTTTTAAGTGTCGATACTAGTCCACTGTGACGGGATAGGAGTCTACAGAGCATTTTGAAAAGTTCCAGCACTATAAATTCAAACTGGGAAACTTTTTTTTTAAGAGACAGAGTCTAGGCTGGAGTGCAGTGGCATGATCATAGCTCACTGCAGCCTCAAACTCCTGGACTCATGCAATCCTCTCGCCTCAGCTTCCCAAGTAGCTGGGACCACAAATGCCCACCGATGCCCACCACCATGCCCAGCTAATTATTTTTTGCCCAGGGCTGGTCTCTAACTCCTGGGAAACATTCTTGCTGCAAAGGCAGATTCTGTTGTCATAGTTCTGTTATGAAGTTTATAAGGTCAATTAGAAGCCTGCTTGCATTCCAGCTCCATGTGGAGCAGCTGCTGCCCAGGATGAAAGCACCAAGGTCTCTGCAGAAGCCTGCCAAAAACTGTCCCACCCGTGTTATGGCTAACACTCCACTGGCCTTGTGGTGGGCAAAGGCTCCAAAGGTGTCACTTCAGAGTGGGCTGCCTCAGTCATGAATGGCCAGAGATGGTATCATCGGGAGCCAGTGAGAAAAGCGTATCTCTTCCCAGTGCCTCCTGTGCAGTCGGGTATGCAGAAGGTCAAGCAGACGCCTCACCAACAGCTGTTTAATGAAAACCTTCTACACCTTTCGTGAAGAACACAGAAAAGCTGTTAAGATGGAGCAAGATAGAATTTATCCTGACGGGGAAAATAAATTATGTAAAGGCAGCAATTATATACACAAAACCAACTTTTTCAGTTTAAAAATAAAAGCTAAGTCTAGGTCAGAGAGCCGAAGCCACACAGAGGAAAGTAAAGGAGACTGAAAAACCTCTTCATAAAGCGCATCATCAACAGTTCAGAGAGAAGTGTGTCCTAGATCGCTGTGTTCTTCCTAGGAATAACACAGCGCTCGGCCACTTGGCTTTTTCCCTCTAATTTTATGCATTCAAATTAAATGGCAAAGAAAATTCCCTACACTGGGAAGCAGGAGCTTTTTCATCTAAAATTCAGTACTATTTCTCAACAAGTTCCTTCTACTTCTTCTAAGTCATGTATCTACCCCATAAATATACATCTTGCTACTTTACACCAGGCCGAGAACTCCACATTTTTCCCTGAATTAATTTTCAGGTTTTTCTCAAGATACTGCTGTGAAGTCAGGCAGTGTTGGTCTCTATGCAGTCATCTTTGGAAATTTGGAGACGGGCCACTGCCAAGAGATTTCAGCCCACTGCCTTTCCGAATCTCATCCGAGAAAACTCACAGTCGCAGTCTTTGCATGTGGCAAAACAGGTTTGCAGTGAAGGCTCCTGGCGGGGACGGGTGTTATCCTGATACACAGGATTTGGGCCTCCGTCAAAATGAGCATTCTTCACTATAGCAGAGTGTCCAGGCCTGTTTTGGGAAAAAGTCTTGATAGTTGACAGAAAGAAAAGTAGAGAACTGGTTCAGTTATGACAACAAAGTTGGTGAAAGCTACCCTCACCTGCCTGCCACTATCCAGGGGAGATGGGCAGAATCTTCTCTATAAAAAGCAGAACATCAGTTTAATCACAATTTCCCCTTTTTATTCATTGCAGACATTAACAAACTAAATGCAGATAAACACATTCTACTTCACAGGACAGTAAGCGTCCTAGATAAAAGCACGCACTGGCTCGAAACATTCACCCATTCCAGTCCTGCAACAATATTTTTCTTCAAATGTCAGTTCTTCACAGTTTCAATACTGCAGCAGCAAATTATTCCTTAGATCAAGAAAGCTATGGTCCATATTTTAGAAGATCTTAAAAGCAGAGAGAAGTAAGCAAACTTCTGGTGCCGTGTGCAGTTTGGGTGGGACAATTTTACCTCCAATCCCGAAGACCGGCCGTGGGAAGGACTGGGCCCTGCAGCGTCCTCCATGCCTTGAGGTGTTCTTCATCTAGAGTCACGGCAGCCAGCTGCGCAGCGTTCGCATTCTAGTTATTGGTCCCTGTCACCCCATGGGGTGTCACAGAAAAAAAAGCCGACGCTTCCCAGAGGAGTTGTTCAGAGCAGGTCAGGCAGGACGAGGCCAGGAGGCTTTGGCTCGACACAGTTGATCCAGAAGTTGGCACAGCTGGCGTGATACTGGTGCCCTCCATAGGCCAGCTTGAAACTGTCTGTTTCTGAGTTGAATGCCTGCCAGAAATAAACAGAGATGTGGGGCAAGTCAGGCTTTTTCTGTATCTAAGAGCTTTTCAGCAACCAACATGTACATCTCTCCAGGTCACAGAGGCTGGGGCCAAAATGGCACACACACAAAAGCTGAGCGGGTAGCTACAGGAATCCAAGAGAGAGATTTTTTTTACTGCTAATTAAAGATATAAAAACTGTTACCACTAAACCTAGTTTCAGCAAAAGGCGGCCAAATCTTCCATGGAAAAGGCAGACAGAGGTCATGGGGCAGAGGCGGGAATCATGATAATGGGAACTAAGGTAGCCAAGGGTTGTGGATAATTTCTACCCCTCACTGTGCTGAAGCAAGCCCTCCTCCCAAGGCTGGCATCTGCCTACAGCATGCAATCCTTTACATTCCTGTAGCTGAGCACAAGCCTATCATGACAAAAAAATTACAGGAGAGTTAGAGAACAACAGATTACAACTCTCAGGGTCTAATGTCATTGGGAGCTAATAACTCAATCTACATTACCAAAGGCATAGAGTTCAAAAATACCTTGATGGGCACTGAAAACATAAGAATGATTTCCAGATGAGTAGGCTTACCAGCAAGCTACAGTCAGCCATGGAAAAGTAGTCCAAATCTCAGCTGCTTACTGGGGTTAGTTTTCTAACACACTGCAAATAAACAAAACTCTAAAACCCAATTTGCCTTTTTTTTGGAGACAGAGTCTCGCTCTGTCACCCGAGTGCAATGGTGCGATCTCAGCTCACTGCAACCGCCACCTCCTGGGTTCCAATGATTCTCCTGCCTCAGCCTCTCGAGTAGCTAGGACTATAGGCGCACACCATCACACCCGGCTTTTTTTTTTGTATTTTCAGAAGAGATGGGGTTTCACCATGTTAGCCAGGATGGTCTCAATCTCCTGACCTTGTGAGCCGCCCGCCTTGGCCTCCCAAAATGCTGGATTACAGGTGTGAGCCACCACACCCGGCCTCCAATTTGCTTCTTGCCTGTCAACAGCTAAACAGCTAAATCCTGAAGTTCTTTGATCTCCTTCTGTGTGTCACTACAAGTTCCAGCTTTCCAGAAGTTGCTTATTGTTACCTCATTCATCACAGAGAAAAATAACGCCAACAGAAGCCAATTATGAGAAACAAGCATGCAAATAAGACAGAAGTGGACCCACACAGATATATTAGTTGACTAAATCAAACACTATGAGAACAAAAATGACTCAGTGAAGGATTCATGATTGGAACAGTTCAGGATGGCAATGGATGGAATCATCCAGTTTGCCTTCCATACTCAAAATTCAGATGGAGACGCTAAGATAAGGTGTAACTGGTTCATACTTTTTTAGGATGTTCTTCTGCAGGCTTCTCTTCTTTCTGAAATAATGTTGAAACCATAGGTCAACAAAATTCCCAGAACAGGGCCTCTGGCCTCCAAACACATCCTTAAGGTTCACCCTTTCCTCCTAACCACCCCACAATGCATAGGCTGCTGCAGGCACCAGAGCGGCGTCCATTCCCCCCATAGCTCCCCACCCTCCGCCGCCCACCCTGCTCTCCCGTGTCTGCTCCCATCATCAGCTTTTAGGACTTGAGAAAATCCCCACCTCTGGTCACAAGCTTTGCAATAAAGTGGGCCAGATGAGGTTGTCCCGAGTTGCGTTAGGGTGGCCCTTTGCCAACTGCAAGGGGAGGCTACGTGACTTACCCGGCTCCTTGAGTCCACATTTAAGAGGCACACGCCGCAGGCAAGTTCCTGAGCATTTTTAATCCCAGGCCGTAGCATACAGGAGGAAAAATCCAGCGAGTTCTCATCTGGCTGTGAGGATGGTAAGACAAATGGGTAAGAAGTCCAGCAAGTCCACCAGCTGTTCGCTTCACACTCCCTCGTCACTCACCCCCAGTAGGTCTAGCAGCAAGTTAAGAACTCTCTAACGCCACCACTACAAACATTAAACTTCCCAAACATCTACTGAGAACCCACTATGTGCCAGGTGCTAGGAAAGCCGGCACAAGTAAAATATACCCTCTGGCTTCTGAGAACTCGGTCTCAAGTGGGCGCCCAGGGGAGCCAGTGCAGTGCCATGAGTGTCGGGTGTGCTTACTTAGGGGAAGTCCTGAGTGCCAGGGCACAAGGGAGGGGCACTTAGCCCAACCCGAGGAGGGAGGGGCCTGAAGCCAGAGACTGCTTCCGAGAACTTTTTTTTCTTTTTTTTTGAGACAGAGTCTTGTTCTGTCACCTGCAACCTCTGCCTCCCAGGTTCAAGCGATTCTCCTGCCTCAGCCTTCTGAGTAGCTGGGATTATAGGCGTGCCACCATGCCTGGCTAATTTTGTATTTTTAGTAGAGATGGGGTTTCACCATGTTTGTCAGGCTTGTCTTGAACTCCTGACCTCAGGTGATCTACCACCTTGCCCTCCCAAAATGGTGGGATTACAGGCATGAGCCACCACACCTGGCCAGCTTCCTAGAACCTAGAATCACCTTGATTGAGTCTAGATGGGAACTGATAAGTGAAGGGGATGGAGCTGGGTGAGGTAAGGGAGGGAAGGATATTCTATGCGGAAGCAGCAGCATGGGCAAAGGCTTCTGAGCTAAAGAGGAGGTATGGGAAGGAATCTAGAGGGTGGGGGCAAAGCCCAGGAAAGGAGGAAGATGAAGCCACAGCATGAACCTCAAGGAAGATAAGGAGCATCCTGGAAGCCACTAAGGGTTCCAACTAGATCATGACAGTCCCAGGTTCGTATTATTAACAGATAACATACCGCCTATGCTGCAGAACAGGCAATGAATCAGGGGTGGCAATCCCAGGGCCTCAGCCAGAAGGCTGCTATGGCAGTCCTGGAGACAGATACTGATGGTCAGAACGAAGGCAGCGGTGGTGCGGAACGCAGAGAAATGGACAGGTGAAAGAGCTGCGAAGGCAGGAGAATGACCAGGCCTGGCTGACCTGCTAGAGGTGAGAGGTTGGAGGGCCCGGGCAGCCGAGAAAAGTCACCATAATGAGACATGTGAGAGAAGGACCAGGCTTGAGGACGGAGGCTGGGGACAAGAGTTCAGTTAGGTACAAGCTGAGCTGGAGCTGCCTGTGGGACAGCGAAGGCCACATGCTATAGAAGCAGGGGGCTGGATATACATACAGGCCTAGTGCTTGCGGACAGATCTGGAAGCCACCAGCTACAGACCATAAATAGAACAACAGCTATTAAGCCCTTACTTTGACGAGCACTATACTAAGCTCTTTACATGCATGCTCTAATTCACTCCTCACTAAAAAAAAAAAAAAAAAGTTAAAAGGGTAGGTCTCAATCTTGGAAAGCTGTCCATTTGCTCTGTTGCGCAGGCTGGAGCATAATGGTGTGATCACAGCTCACTGCAGCCTTGACTTCATGGGCTCAAGAGATCCTCCCACCTCAGCCCTTCAAATAGCTTGGACCACACGTGCGTGCCACCATGCCCAGGTCATTTTTTGATTTTTTTAAGATGTCTCCCTATGTTGTCCAGGCTGATCTTGAACTCCTGGGCTCAAGTGATCCTCCCAAAGTGGTGGGATTACAGGCATGAGCCACTGCGCCCAGCCCTGCAGCACACTTTTATTTTTATTGATTTTGAGACAGGGTCTGACTCTGTTGCCCAGACTGGAGTGTGGTGGTGTTATCTTGGCTCACGACAGCTTCTGCCACCCGGGCTCAAGCAATCCTCTTGCCTCAGCCTCCCAAGTAGCTGGGACTACAGGTGTGCACCACCACGCCCAGCTAACACACTTCTTTTTGAGACAGAGTCTCGCTCTTTCACCCAGGCTAGAGTCCAGTGGTGCAATCTCGGCTCACTACAACCTCCGCCTCCTGGGTTTGATCAATTCTTCTGCCTCAGCCTCCTGAGTAGCTGGGACTACAGGCATGTGCCGCCACACCCAGTTAATTTTTGTATTTTTAGTAGAGACAGCATTTCACCATATTGGCCAGGTTGGTCTCAAACTCCTGACCTCGTAATCCACCCTCCTCAGCCTCGGAAAGTGCTGGGATTACAGGCATGAGCCCCCACACCCGGCCACACACTTTTAAGTTTGATCTGTACTAGTAACATTTTCTCCATCACTTTTTTGGCACTGAGGGATTTCCTTAGTGCTAAAATAACTTGAGACATACATAACCCTGAAAGCTGGACAACAGTAAAATTTAAGAACTAGAATGTTTTAAGTATTACCTCTATTTTTAATATAATTTATTTAACTGCAAATTTGTATCATTTAATTTGTGTTTGTTTTGCTTTTGAGCTAGAGTCTCACTCTGTCACCAAGGCCGGAGTACAGAGGCATGATCATGGCTCACTGCAGCCTCAAACTCTTGGGATCAAGCAATCCTTTTGCCTCAGTCTCCTGAGTAGCTGGGACTAACGGTGTGTGCCACTACACCAGGCTAACTTCTTTATTTAGTAGAGATGAGGTCTTGCTATGTTGCCCAGGCTAGTCTAGAACTTCTGGCCTCAAGCAATCCTTCCACCTCAGCCTCCCGAAGTGTTAGGATTATAGGCATAAGCCACTGTACCCAGTCTTCATTTAATTTTTAGTAATAACTACTTAACAAATGGCTCATAAAATTCCTCAACATTTAACAATCAACTCTTGCAAGCCAGTAAGAATTGGCTTTAACACCCTAGTGCAACAGAATGAAATCTTAGGTGGGAGCCTAGAAGTTAAGGATTTTCTCCCAGAGGGCTTATCCTGTCTCTCAAGCAGGAGATGAGATCATCAGCTGGGTCCGAAATAGCAGTAGTCTTGTGAACGCCAAGCAGCAAACTTATGGTGGTGTGATTCTCTCCACCAGCACACAGGGGTCAGGGTTGGGGTGGAGAACGTGGATGGCTGCACTGATTCTGGCTGGGTTCTATCCACTGAGTATGACTGGAGGGAGTGAGTAGGGATGCTCCATGCACCGTGGAGAGTAAGCAGGTGAGAAAAGCAACAACAGAAGAGGGCTGATAGGACCACAGTGAAAGAGACAATGTCCTGTCTTGAGAACCAAAAACAAGAGTAGTGCCAGCGAAGGGTGAGACAGTGGAAGGTTGCCCATCTGTCCCAGGAAGTTAGATGTCTGAGTCCGGGGTTGCACAGGCGCAGCACAGTGTTTGCTAAGACATCCCACCGTGATGATGCGAGCAGGTGGCTGAAGTGCAGGAGAAGCAAGGGCGCGTGCTCCAGGTGGTCAAGCATCTGTGGGCCTGGCATGGTGGCTGTTTGTCCTCATGGATACTGAGGTGATCCAAGAGGATGGCAAATTCCTGCCACAGTGACAGCTACATTTCCCATGGTTATTCCAGTCTGAACCACTGAGAAGTTTACACATCGTTTTTGAGCAACAACACAAAATTAAATCATCCGTATATTTCCTCACCAGAAAAAAAAAAAGATTTCTCCTTATAAAAACAAAAATGTGTAGATTATGTATGATGTTACCTGTTCCTTTCTAATTTGAAATAATAAACCACGAACTAGCACCACAAACCTTTCTTAAACATATTTGAGCCAGATCCATTGAGATCACAGCTCGGGAAGGAAGAACACATGGTTTTCAAAGAAAAGGTGAGGTGTATGTTTCAACTGTGTGCAGGGGACTCTGATGTATGTGATCAAAGTAAACTTACATGGCCTTAGTCAAGTCATAGGGTATGTTTTCTTTTTTTTCTTTTTTTTTTTTTGAGGTGGAATTACACTCTTGTTGCCCAGGCTGGAGTGCAACGGTACGGCCTCGGCTCACTGCAACCTCCGCCTTCAAGGTTGAAGCGATTTTCCTGCCTAAGTCTCCAAAATAGCTAGGATTACAGGCATACTCCACCATGCCCAGCTAATTTTGTATTTTTAGTAGAGACGGGGCTTCTCTATGTTGGTCAGGCTGGTCTCGAACTCCCAACCTCAGGTGATCCACCTGCCTCCGCCTCCCAAAGTGCTGGGATTACAGGCATGAGCCACCACATCCAGCTCTGTTTTCTTTCCTCTCTTTTCCTTTTTAGTGCAACCATGGTCACTGTGGTCAAATGCAGAAGAGGCTGGCCCTACGACTTGCTTGTTCTGCAGTCAGTCATCTGTAAAATGTTAACAATTTCACTTGCCCTATACCTCTCTCCCATTTATATATATTTCAGGTAAACATAAAACATGCTCTGGAAGGGAAAAAATTGTCTATATCATTATCACCACTATTCACTTTGACACATAAACTCTCAGCAAGCTTTTTAAAGAGGTTAAAATATAGTCTCACCTCTGTAATCCACATTATAGATAGTCAGCATGTTATTGAATCAGGGCTATTTGAGAAATAATTAGAATCTGAGAAAATTCTGAGTCCTAAAATCAACCAAGAGAAGCCCCTTAATATCTGTTTACCAAAGGCATAAGGAAAGCAAATGAAAAGGTCATACTGTAATCTCCAGTGAAAACCAAGGCTCTGCATAAATGACCCTGTGATCAAATTACTCTTTCAGCTGACAAAATTAACCTTCCTAAGTACATGTGTATAAACAGGATGATTATTGTAGTATAATAGTAACAGTTTGGCACCAACTAATGGCTGTCATTGTATAAGAAGGTATGCCCCCTACAAGTCACCTTAATCATCTCTTTATTTGGCAAGTATTTCATGCATTTAGTAAATATTTTAAAATAAATATATATTGTACATGGCCTATTGACAATAAGTCCCACTGTCAGACTGAGACATGTAATCCTGAATCTTTAGCCTACAATAAACTGCTACAATGGTATCCAAGAAGATCCTTATTTAATTTCTTTTTTTTTTTTTGAGATGGAGTTTTTGCTCTTGT